CTGATTCTTAAAAAGAGATTCTTAGGAAGAAATTCTGTCTCTTTCCTCTGTGCAATGTCCTGTCTGAATCTGATGGTTGGGATTGCTTGTCCCATCCAGCCTCAGACCCAAGCATGAAGGCAAAACACAAGTAAAGGTGAGGCCAAACAATTTCTGGAGAAAAAGAGCTGCAGCTGTCCTATACCTTCTTATAATAGGAAATAATAAATCTTGTCATTATAAAGGTCATTCTAGGGTGGATTTTTTATAATTTGCAGCTAAACACAAATAAACCAGTCTATATATCTTTGGATTTTATTAAACTGTCCTTTTATGTCCTGAGGAATACATCCTTTGTGCAGTTAGTCCTGTTTTAACATGCTCAGGGGCTCATTACTAGGAAAGCATAATTATTCCATGTAAACATGTAAAAAGATAATAGTGCTTTACTTCCTCAGCTCACCTTTTTTTAATGTTCTTAATTCTTTTTTTTTTAAGATTTTATTTATTTATTTGACAGAGAGAGAGGCACAGTGAGAGAGGGAACACAAGCAGGGGGAGTGGGAGAGGGAGAAGCAGGCTTCCCGTGGATCAGGGAGCCCAATGCGGGGCTCGATCCTAGGACCCTGGGACCATGACCTGAGCCGAAGGCAGACACTTAACGACTGAGCCACCCAGGCTCCCCGCTTCAGCTCACTTTTTCCTTTTCTCCTGTTTACTTATTAGTCCCACTGGCTTTTGTACATGAAAAATTATGGATCATGTCACTTATTAGCAAAGAAAGTAAAATAAAAATGGTCTCCTACCCAATAGTTCAGTCTTTCAATGACATCATATGCAATTGCATATATCAATGCAAGTTATATAGCTGACATATATGCACTGAAATAATAAATTATGTCCTATGTTAGTGTTTAAATATGACATTTTGGAGGAATCTGATGGATACGAGAAACATCTCTTGACAGGACTGTCGGTTGTTAACAGAAAGGCATACTGAATAAGGCAAGTCAAAAATCACACAAATATATTCTGCATTTGCTGTGTACCGGGCTGAGCACATAGATGCTGGCTAAACAGTGGTCAACAGGAGTAACGAGGGTTTTACTCCCATGGAGTTTACAGAGTACGTGGGCAGTCAGTCTGATGAACAAGCAGTTGTAACACAGTGTGATAGATGCTCTTATATGGTGCAACATATGAGAATATAAGAGGGGTATGTAACTCAGGAAGGGGTGGGAATGGCTAAGAAAGGACTCCTGGAAAGCATGTATCAAGCCTCACTCCTGGAGATTGAATGGGCTTGAAGTAGGTAAGAGAGAAAAGCATATGTGGAGAAGGGCTCGTGCAGGGGACTAGAAAAGGGAGAGAGGATGCACAGGCATCTGCAGAGAGCAGGAAGTGGCTAAGCGGAGGCAGGGGGCAACAGAGTAAGAGACAGGATCACAGAAGTACAAAGGGAGCATTCCTTTAGAGTGTTAACACAGCTTCTGAATGCAGCAGGGATCCGTGTGTGCATTTGATGAAAGCTCTTCTGGCTGCACGGCAGAGACGCAACATGAAAGGGACAGAGCAGAGGCAGTGGCCATGCTAGTCATCCAGAGAGGCTGTCAAATAGGAGGAAGGAAAGGGGAACCTGGAGGGAAGATTTATGATGTGGGTCATTACTTGAATATGGTGGAAAGGGAAAGAGAGGCACCCAAGGGGACTGCTTGGTTGAGGTGGATGGAAGGTCATCACTGGGGAAGGACTGCCAAAAGGAGCTGATGTAGGGGAGGACAGTGGATTCAGCTTTGAACATGGCTCTTAGTTGTCTGTGGGGCATCTAGCAGACATTGGATTTGGGTCAGGAGTTGTGTGCGCAGGTATGGGGTTTGGACGTGGGCTGGCGTCTCTGAGTTCCAGTATTCTGATTTATTAGATGATGATTATGGTGATATCTACCTCATAAATGTCATGGGATTGAACGAGATAAAATAAAGCAACTCAGAGGCAGATATTGTTTTCATGAGTTCTGTTCTTTGGTTATTATTGTCAGTGATGCTTTTCCTTCCGTCACTCTGTTTCCAAATGGTCACCTGAAATGATTAAAAAGATTATGGCAGCTGATGTCTGCTGAATACTTACTGTGTACTAGACACTCTTGACCCTTCTAATACTGTACAAATATTAAATCATTTATTCCTTTTTTTAAAAAGATTTTATTTATTTATTTGACAGAGACAGACACAGCGAAAGTGGGAACACAAGCAGGGGGAGTGGGAGAGGGAGAAGCAGGGTTCCCGCTGAGCACGGAGCCCGATGCGGGGCTTGATCCCAGGACCCTGGGATCATGACCCGAGCCAAAGGCAGACGCTTAACGACTGAGCCACCCAGGCACCCCTAAGTCATTTATTCCTTAACATAACTCTGTGAAACAGGTACTTCCATACCCAAAGAGATTAAGCAACTTGCCAAAATCACGTAGCTAGGAAGTGTTGGGGTGCAGATTTGGACAAAGGCAGTCAGACTCCCTTTCTTGTACTTTATGGATGAGAATATATTTTTGCTAAATAGGCCTTTGACTTTTAATCAGTTTATAATGTTGGATTCGTCCCTTAAGAATATTCTAGTGGTCATCTCTTTTTTTTTTCTTTTCAACAACTCCTCTATTTCTGAAATTCTTTGTATAGTTAATATTAAAATATTCTTCTACTTTATATCATAATGTCAAATCCACTGCTGATTGACTTTCATACACATACATATAAACATAAATTTCCATTTCGGATTCATAACTCTAGCCATTTTCATATTCATCGACTTGTAGGCTTGAAAGGAACTTAAAATCTTCTTATTTAATTGCATAGCAAATGTTTAAATTCATCTTGTGAAGTAGTTTTTGTACCAAGACTTCTAGAGTTTCAGTCACAGAAACTGTTCTCCACAAATCCCATTTCAGTTTCTGTCCTTGTTCTCAGGAACCTAGTCTCCCCCGCCATTCCCCCAGCACCTGACAGCTACTGGCACCTGCAAAGTACACCATATATTTTGTGGAATGAATGAATAAATAAATGATTGATTATCAGAAAAACCACACTGACTATTCTGTAAGTTTCTTGGTAATTCAATAAGGACAAAACACAATTTCCTTCACTTAAAATATGACTATTTTCATGCAAGAGGAAGGCTAAGATAACTAAGGAAAACACTTGGGGTTTTCTCTGTTTTTGGAAAACAAGAGTTGACTTATGTAGAACACCTGAAACACTGCAGTCCAGTAACACCTGAAAACTGGGACTGCTGGGAATCCAAGAAGATGCTCTCTGCCCTGACTCGAGGCAAGCAAGTTGGAGCTGCTTCCTAAGCCCAGATAATTGCCACTTCAGCCTGCCTGAAATGTAAATTTGAACTTTGTTCTGAATTGGGGAGGGAACCAAGAGCCTGAGTTGATGATCAATGTTGGGCCAATGCCAATTCATATCATGAACAGTTGGATTTTTATGATCTGTCTGTGAAGAGAATCCTGTAGTTGGGTATCAGACCTTTCAAAGTCCATGGAGTATTCCTTTATTTCCTCTTTGGGATTATCCTTGCAGCACTATCCATGAGCCAAACCCAATAAATACATAGTTCCAAGGTTGATACTTTTTTTCTTATCACATTACTAAAATAAAACTCAAATTTATGTTTCATAATTCCTATTGTTCCCAGATTTATTCATTTAGGTGCTAAAAAAGCATGAAAGATAATGCTGACAGTTAAATCTGAAATAATTCATTTAAATCCTGGTCCCCGAGTTCTAATGGAAAATGACTCATATGGCATATTCAAAGCCAAAAGTGGAATTCAGATTGGTTATTTGGGGTTGTATTTTTTTCAATAAAGTTATTCATAATCCCCAATGACGATGATAAATTTGTGGTTGCTAAGTTAGTGTTGGGCATTGCATCTTTAGAGTCTGATTAGGTGGGAGTTGCCATTTGCTGTGCTGTGAATTGCCAACAAAGCTGAATCTGTCACAGGTGCTACGATTTGTATTTCAGAAAAATTTCTTTGCCAAGTTTAATTATCCCCAAAGTATTCTACTCTACACAAAGTACTGAAAAGAGTCAGCAATTTTTTTTTTCATTTTCAGTACTGTGATGTAAATTTGGATTTTGTCTACTACCTACATGTTGTAGAGATGATGGAATTTCAAATGCAGGCGATCCTCTGTTTTGTAATATAAAACACTATTTTCTGTTCATTTTTCCATTTTGGATTGAGAAAAAGAATAACACGAATTGGCTGTAACCAAATCACATATCCACAGTTACATAAACCATGCTTTGTAGAAGGGAGCAGGCATGAGGTAGATAGAAAGTGTGTAGGTTTAACTACTAGTGGTGGAAACTGGGAAATGGGAAGTCCTACACTCAAAAATATTAAATAAATTTAGGATTAACTTTTTCTTATTAAGTATTAATATGTGTTTCAAGCTCATGGAAATAAGTATGTATCCTTTTTTGTATTAGGTAGCCTGTCCCTTGCAGGGAGACTAGGGAACTGGGCAGCTTGTGGAGACAGTTGTTTCTCTTTCAGCAAAGCAATTCCTCTTCACGTCAGCATATATCAGTCGGGTTTCTGTTGTTGTTTTTTCTTTTCCATAAAATAATTTGTTTTTTTCAACACTTCAACAGGAAGCCCTGATGGGGAAGTTTCTCCTAAATGTTTCACTGCAGAGGTAGTTTCTTTAAAATTGCTTGAGGTTGATTTGTTAAATTAGAGGAATGTCTTTGACCCTGGAAATCCATAAGAAGTGATTATGGTTATGAAAATAATTTCTAAGAGACCAGCATTGTTTGATGAGTTATGTTACAGTTAAAGCTTTTTGGGATATTTTAAAATAAGATTCTTTATCTTTTTCCCTGTCTTTCTCCTTGTCTTCGTATTAATGAAATTCTAACAAATAGAAATTATTAATTGAATTGAGAAATAAGTGTGTGTGTTGGAAATTGCTTAGCCTCCAAATTGTAATTATAATTTTATATTCTTTGTAGGATTATTTAACCATTCATAAGTATGGCAACGCAGCCAGAAATGATCTCTGGAATACACTATCAGAGGTAAAGTATAGGAAGCTCGAATACCAAAACCTCCTCTTGAATATTTGAATTGAGTTTATAAACCATTCTTAACTTTTATTGACACTGACAGTTGTTTTTACTTTTTATATTTTCTTGTATTGCTTTATCATTTTATTTTTGATATATTATAAAAGTAATGGGGTTTAAAACTACTTAAACTACAAATGGTAGTAAAACGTTCCTTGCCTACTTTCAAACAAGACAATACTTCTGAAATATAACATTCATATTGTGTCAGATATTCATGTATGAGAGAAATATTGATGTTAAAATAGTTTTTTCTATAGGTGAATAAAAAATATTTAAATTTGGTACTGGACATACTAGGGATACTTAATGATGCTACAAGTACTTGTTTTAACAATCAACTATGTTTTATCTTCCATTAAGTAAAAACTTTAATGCTAATAAAGCTTTCATTTCTCTATATATGCATGAAGCTTAATTTAAGGCAAGGAGATTAATTTTACTAATGTGTTATATTAGCTTCACTGATTTTACATGTTTTCATCCTTAAGTAAATCATAAAGGTAAAAATAAAAATGGTTTAACGTTAATTATGTTTATAATTCATGTTTATAAAACTAATTTATACAATTTGGGTTATAAAGGCTTTAAAACGGAATGGAAAATTTGTAAATATACAAGAAGTAATGGATCAGTGGACACTCCAGATGGGTTATCCTGTTATCACCATCTTGGGAAATTCAACAGCAGAAAATAGAATAATAATTACCCAACAACACTTTATTTATGACATCAGTGCTAAAACTAAAGCACTTGAACTTCAAAATAACAGGTACAACACTCTTTTACATGAAAAAACAATTGCTTTTATTCTTGGGTTTCACTTTGCATTTTTAACATTTTAAAAAGATTGCTAGCACAATTATAAAATGTAAGCGAAATATGGTTTTCATTTCTTTATTTACATATGGTGTTTTCATTTTGATTCCTCTTTTACTCCCATTTCCAGATATTTTAACCATCAAAGTGACAGCACACCAAAGTTATTTTGTTTAAGCAGAGTTTAAATTATCATGGTGATTTAGAAAACTATGTGATTTTTTTACTTTTCCCTGTGAATGTTTGTTGAATTAAATTCAAGAAAGTTAAGATGTAGTGAAGTCAATTAGATAGAATGGAGCAAACTGAGATTTATAAAATAGATGAGAATAGAAACTAACAATCCAGAAAGACTAATTAAAACAAACAAAAACTACAACTAGACTAGTATCTGAGCCAAAGGAACTCAAAGTAGATCCATTTTTAAATGGTCTAAGTATCAATGCTACTTCGCATCAAAATATGTTCTCCTCCCTCATTTTCCATGTGTAAAACCACTGAACAGACAACACACATAGTATTTTTATTTGTTGTTAAACTTTCTTTCGAAACTCTTATTTAATTACTGAAAACAGCATGTAGTGTTTCTTTTCTACTTCGTGTTTTCTTACTGTATGGTGTCTTATTAAAGGCTGAGCCAAAGAAAGATAATGCAGTTTAAATCAGTTCATTTCATTTTTTAAAAGGTGCCCTAAGAAAAGATTGGAGAGGGAGGGGACAGAAGGAATGGAATTTAAAATTAATAAACAAAATGAAGTGTTTGGATTAGGTTGGTCATGCTGTCTCCCATTACATTGGCATATTAGGACTCTGACTTTATCATCCACCAATATGTAGGAGGTGTGAAGCATCAATTGTTTTTGTTTTTTTTGTTTTTGTTTTAATCTCTAAGAGGGATGGAAATTGTTCCCAAGTAGGCTAGCTCCAAGATGGGCTATAGGTAGAAGTGACTGAGAAATTCCTGAATGTTTAACGATGACTGAATTTGGAACGTCCTTTAGGAAAGCATTGTCTTAAATCTCCTGGTCAATAGATACATGGGCTTTGGACAAACCACCCCTGCAAGTCAACTGTTTCAACCAATGGAAGGTAGTCTTACCCTGCCGCACTGTCATGATCTGACTCTTGTCTGTCAACGCTTCTGTATTACCCAGCCTGGATTCCGCACAGTTGCCAAATGCTGCTTCTGATTCTCCACCCTCTGGCCCTGGGCTAAACCTGCTTAGGCATCAACTCCGGCCTTGCCAGGAAGTACATAAAAACTACTTGACTGTGGCAAAGTTAGAGAGATTTAGGCCATGCCTTTGAGAATGATCAGTTTGACACAAACATCACTGGTGCAGAAAAACATAAAGGACCCGCAAATGACGGAACAAATTTTGAACAAAAATACACTGTCAGCCTGTAACATGCATCAGATGTATCAGCTATGAGTCTGACTCTTTAAAGGCAGAATTTCTCCCAGGCTGTATGAGCATATGTAACTTGAATAGAGCTTTGCTTTTGCTAGAGTTGTAAAATCATATGGATAACGTTGAACCCTGAGAACCTAGCATATAAAATATTAAGAGTAAGATAATGTATGGAGTCCCTTTAAGCTCGAAAATTATTTTCTATCTATTTTGAAATAACAGAGCTTGCAGTTAAAAATTTCGTATTCAATTGTATCTTATTGATCAATTTTATTCACTCTAACATTGTAGTCAGAGCTTCAGTACGAATTCTATCAGTCCTTTGTATGTAGCCTTCCTAGGTCTTTATTATACAGTGCAAGCTGTTGATGCAGTAAAACAGTGCCCACCGATACCAGAAATCCCACGAATTGTGGATCTTTTCTGAGCCAGTATCATCAATTCTTTGTCCTGAATTTTGTAAAGGATACTAGAACATCACTATAAACATGCCCAGAACATTTTTAATGTATATAGTAATTATATTTTTCTATAGAAAGATGGTTACATAACTAATAATTGCATAGAGTTAGGTGATATGTAAAAGTGAATAAGATATTTGCTAGAATTTAGGTATTCTGGAAGTTCTGAATTTGTCTAGCTTTTTCTCTTTATCAAGTTAATACATTGCAATGTTAAGCAATGTCTCCTCATCCACTTACGGAGTTTCTCAGAGTCCTGTGCTACAGACAATTGTATTTATCTCCACAGTCATATTTTCCTTTTGTTATCGTCCTGATGACAGCAACTTCTGTAGAGTTCATGGTATCTACATTAATGCTTCACTGATATGGGTACCATTTTGCAAAAAAGAATTTTCACTCAAGCTAAAATAAGTACCTATTATTTTCTACCTTAACATGATTATCAAGATAAACATTGCTTTATTATAAAAACATGAACCCTATGTATAGAGAGATAACCCCAGGGAATATCACAGAAAAAATACCTTAAAGGTCTATTGAAATGCATTTTGCGCTTGTTTTTGGGTTTTTTTCTGCTTAAAGTGAGATGACTAAAATTAAACTTAGGTAGCTGGGACGCAATCTAATTCACAAATTCTTTTTCCTAATCTTTTTTTCAAACATAACCCACCACAGTCTGAGATTTTCTTTATAGCACCCCATGCTTCACTCAACAGTGTTTAGTGTCTTCCACCCTTTTAAGTTGTAACCATAAAGCAACGTGCTTTCTTTGATTTTTGAAATGAAATTTAGGAAAAGATCAAATATGTGTTGTTTGGAAAGTTATGAAAAATAACATCTAGGATTTATAGTATAGCAATTCAGAAATGAATACAAATTTTAGATATGCTTGGTAATTTGTCATTTTTATTTTGTTTTTGTGACAATATATACATTTTAGTTGTGTGCATACACAATCATGCAGACATAGATACACACACACAGAAAGAGCAAAAACATTCTTGGGAAAAATACCCAGAAGACTGTTTCAAAAGTTTTACAAAATGCCCGAGTGTTTGTATCCCCCCAGTACCTTATCGTTAACTCTTGCATCTGAACAGCTGTGTGATTCAGTGTCTGTCATGAAGGAAGTTCCCCATAGGGATGTGGCATTGACTGTAAACAACATGCAGGTATCAATATGAATCTCTTTTTCTTGTACTGTAGAGACTTTTGCTAAAACTCAAATATTGAAGCATACCATAGAAATGTTATCATCATTTCTAGTTCCACTATTTAGAAGAATACAGTTTAAATAAATGCAAAAGTGTATTTATTTATATTAGGGGCAAATAATATTTCACATTTTATGATCATGCTTTAAAAAGACACATTTATCCTTGAGGATTTTTAAACATCGTCAATTTTGTATATTTCTTGCCCTTTAACGGATACTTATTTGACTTCACAATTTAGTTGACCCAACTCAATGTGGAAGATATTTACCAGAAAGTCAAGTTCATAAGGTTAATCTCTGTCTTGCCCATAGACTGATTTGGTTCCTTTCATTTTACTTTGGTCTAATCCTGTTTGATCCAATTCAACAGCAATTTCTGGAATGCCTTCCATTTCTAGGCTTCTTCAAGATCTTAGGTTTACAAATATGAGCTCATAGATAATAATTTGAGAGTCAGATGCATAGTCAAGCATTATTGTCTCTTAACTAATTTTTTCAATTAATCAAAAAAGAGTCATTATTTTTAGAGAACAGCTGTTAAAGAAATATATATCAATTCTCTTTGTCTTCCTCACAGTAATACCATTATTAAATATTTGCCATATTCTTAGTATTATGTTAAGAGCTTGGAGGTCTTTGATAAAGAGCTTAAGTGGGTTATGTTCATTTACTTCTACTTTAAAAACAATATGTTTGGCTACTATAGGTTATTGATTCCCCGACCAACTGTGTGGATTCCACTGTGGTACAGCTTAGTGTCTCTACGTAGTTGGCACTCAAAAATATTTTGCTGGTTTAAACATATTATTTCAACTTTACATATTGTAGATGGCCATTAGTGTAAAATTGTTAATTTCTTCTACTCTTCCACTTAGATTTGTTACTATTACTGATTTGTGTTTATTGTGAATGAGAAATGAAATGATAAAATAATCAAATTCTATGTAATAGATTTAGAGGAGATGCCCTCTCTTCCCATGCCCCCCAAAACATATTCATTATATTTGTAATTATATAATCCCGGATATGTTTCCTGAAAAATTCTCAATTCTCTGTTTACTTTCCCAATTACAGAGCTCAAACAGTGTCTCTTCCATAAAATAAAAAATATTTTTTACATACTAAATATTGTTGGCTACCCATGCTGTTAATGGTGTAATGATAGGTCAACATAATCTGGCTATACTTCAGGGAAAGAAACAAAATGTAGTCACTGAATTTATTGTAAGACCATCCAGATTATCTCTGGCTAGTCATTTGAGATTAAATTGATACTACTTCAAGTACAAGTATAGGCTTCCATTTTTACCCTATAAAAAGTCAAATTCTAGAAAATGCTTCTTTTAATAGCTGAGACTCATGACTGATCCCTGAACGTTGGTTGATGATTTCACACATCAGTGTGGAAATTTCATTTCAGAAAATAGAGCATTAAGTGTGTTTGACACTATTCTTTGTCCTGATCTGGATTTTAGGGGCATCTGATTAGTTTCACCTTTCATTCCTGCTTTGCTGAGTAACTTTAGGTGTGCTGTATTAACCTATCTGTAAAATGTGATAATACTACTTATTAGGATAGTTATGTGAAAAAATAAGGATAATGTTGAAATGTAAATGCATGAAGCCACTGAAATGTGTATTAATTTAACATAGAAACAAGTAGAAAGGAGTTATTTTGAGACTTAATCAATATATGGTGTGGCTCTGATTTATTGATTTTAGCTACTTTTTATTCTGTAATGTAAAATGCGAATCTTTTTTTTTTGCAAGATAAATTGTTTTGTTGAAAGTCCCCCTTTTGTATTGAAATTAAAACTCTTACAGGCTAAGTCTGCTTAGTGGCATTGAAGAAGTGAATTCATCTCCTTGACTTATTCCTTACTTTTGTGACGGGAATTTTTTTATTTCCCCTAAAGAGAATAATAGAAATCATGCAGAAGGTGCATAGCAAATGTTGTTTGTTTATTTGTTATAACCATTTTTATTCTTAAAGCTTCTATTTTACTTTGCAGTTACTTGTGGCAGATTCCATTAACTATTGTGGTAGGAAATAGAAGCCATGTGTCTTCAGAAGCAATTATTTGGGTGTCTAACAAATCAGGTAAAATATATATGCTCCCCTCAGGAACTATTTGGTTTCAGATAATTGTTTAGCAACTTAACCTCTGGTTTCAGCTGTTGTAAACATGTGAATAAAGACAAATTAGAAAGAGAATATAAAAGAATGATAATCCCCTCTAAAAAATTAAGTATAATATAGTATAGTTTGTACATAGTCTAATTTTAGTCTGCCTATATAATTCTTAAGTTTATTTGTGTCATTGATGGTAAAGAGAAAATTTAAAACAAGGCATCTGTAGTACTAATTTTAGCTGTTTTAAACTGTATCATTTTATAATCCCAAATGTAATTAAATTATAATCATAACTCCCAGCAAAACAGTATGCCAAATAATGAAACACAGGCCATATTTTCAATTCCATTTTCCTGCTATCTTCTTTTTTGCCAGACTGGCTCTTTAAAGAATGGACAAGGTGATATTCTCCATAAAATTAGATAATTATAGGGACAGAAGGGAGGGGCCTTGATAGGTCATCAAAGCATCACCTAAACTAGGGTCAGTTCTCAAGGAGCAGAGAAAGATGAGATTCTATTCTGTTTCTAAATATCTTCAAATAAGATAGCGACCTATTTCAATTCACTGTCAGAAAGCTATTTCTTGAATCCAATCTAAATGCTTCATGCTAGATGTGAAACAGTTCTCTTTAATTTCTGTTTTCTATTGAACTGGAGAAAAAGCCAATTAATCATCTTTTATGTAACATTTTATTTAGATTTAGATGGTCAAGTATGTCCCCGTTTTTTCTACTCCTTTCTTGCGTTCTGTTAATTGATGTTATCTTATTTCATAACCACTATGAGCAGCTACAATCTCCTTTTTGCAATAAGTAAGGTAAAATTAGTAAATAACAAAATAAACATTGTGTCTGCCCCTCAGTCTTGCTATTATAAGGGAGATGTAAGTGCTCAAAGTACATATATACAAGAAAAAGTTCTTATAGCAAAATCTAATCTGCATACCAGAAATATAAATGCTTGGATTTTCAGTTGAATTTTTATTCAAATTTTCATGTTGTTGTATTTTTAACACATAATCACATATTATGAAAATATGTGCTTTTATTTATATACATTGTGTATAAAAGATTCATAAGTAATGTAGTGATGAATTGAAATGCTTATTTTAAAATTTATTAGTGTTTCTCCTTTTAAAATTGCTTATTATAATCTATTCTTTTCATTTCTTGAGTTAGCGTTTATATGATTCTTAATTCACTTACTGTATTATTTGGTTTTTTTTACCACTCTTTTACTTTCGTGTAGTTGTTTTGTTTATCTACATAATTTGTTATGAAATGAGGAGTGAAAACAGTGAGTCATTAACCTAATGATCTAACTATTAGATCCTCCATGGGATTGCTAGGAACATGAAATAGAACAATTTTCAGAAACCAAGTAAAACATTTCTCATTGAGGGGTACAATGGAAATGGGACAATTACAAGGGTGCAAAGATACTGATTAAAAGTCAGGATCAGGCCAAAACGTCACTTTTAGAGAGTGAATCTAGGCAAGTCTGATTCTTCGTCAATATTTTCCCCACGTCCATTTCCTCTAACTCCCTAGTTATTTGTATGCTGTTATTCATGGTATCCTCTTGTTTCACGTAGAGTACGCAGAATAGTGTCACAGCTTTTCTTGACCAATAACCACAGGTGTATTTGAGAGGTTGTTTCCATTTGTAGTCTCTCATTATTAATCAGGAATAATAACAACATGATATTTCAAAGCATACATTTGCCTAAAATGTCACCTATATTAATATACATGTCATGCTCACTACATAGTGTGTGCAATGCATGACTCTGGGAGATGATATTTACATTGACTCTGATAATTGAGTTGTGCCACCTACAGTGTGTCAGTTTCCATTAAATCACAGCAGAGCCTTCTGGTTGATGGAACATTGTCCCGGTAGAAGTGTTGAAGCTTTTGTGGAGAATGACCGTACCAAGTAAATATTTCTTGAAAACTTTATAAATATGTAAATCTGGAAGAAGCTTCCAAGAGGGACCTAAAAGAAAGACAACCATTCTGTTTTCCCTGTTCAGTCTCATTCTGTCTTTAGTTTTGTCTTAAATCCCTTCATTATGATGACAAATAAAAAACCGACACAAGGCACAGACTAGGAGGAAAGAAAAGATTGTTAACTCTTGTCTCCTTTCACGAGTTATTACCTCTCTCTCTCTCTTTTTTCAAAATACAGTTAACTAGGGACACCTGGGTGGCTCAACTCCTAGTTTCAGCTCAGGTCATGATCTCAGGGTCTTGAGATCAAGCCCCACATTGGACACTGCACTCAGCAGAGAGTCTGGTAGAGATTCTCTCCTTCTGCCCCTACCCTCTTCTCTAAAAGTAAATAAATCAATCAAAATAAAAAATATAGTTAACTAATATCAATAATAATATCAATAATGTTTTTTCCATAAAAACATTAAGAAAATATTCTGGTCAATTCTTATCAACATTATATTTTAAAAGTCCACCTTTTAGTTGTAACAATAGCATCAGTATTTTTATAATTTTCATTATAAGTCACATAGATTTGATCCCTCACCAGGTATTAAAGCACAGTCATGGTGAATAATATAAAGTATAAATTTGATTTGAATCATCATATACTCTGGACACTTCCATTTTTTAAACCCTTTGGATGAATATTGAATTAATTCCAAGTTAAGGTATAGTTCATTCTAACCTAAAATAGTTTTTAAATCAACTTTTAAATTACTGAAAGCAGGTAAAAGGATTTATCTTTTTCATTTTTACTACTGAGATACTGAGAATGCAGATGTTTATAAATATAACAGCTTGTATGGTGACAATGAATGTGTAATGGAAGGGAATAAATTTAATGCCAAATGTTAGGAAAGAAAAGATTCAAAATAAAAGGGAAATTGATGCTGAAATTACAAATAAACATTAAAAATAATGTAATGATATAGTGCTCGCCTTAAGCATTGTTTTATATATGACTTGCAAGCCTTTAGAATGAGTTATTTTTATCCCCATTTTACAAATGAGGAAGTTAAGGCTTGAGAAATAACTTGCCTAAATTGTCTTAGGAGCTTGGTTTTCTTTTCTAAATGTATTCCCTCTAAACCCCCCCCCCCAACACAGACACATGTAGATTTTAAAATTTTGGTAGGTTGCTTTGCTGATGTGCCAATTACTCAATACGTTGCCATCGTATTCATACACATGGTTTTTTATAGGTGCTATAGAGCATTTTCTAATTTGATTCCCCTATAAGTCCAGTGAGAAAACCAATATGTGTTATACCTGAGTTTGTTTTACATTGCTACCCTTGTTACTTCGGTTGACTTTTTGTTTATTTTAAATTCTGATTTTTCTGCAACCAGCCAATATTGAGGAGAAAGGCTTAAGATCTTCCTCTTTTTATTCGGAAAGTATAGAATATAAAACCAAAATATTACAAAATTCCAAATACTCTGTGCCTTGATATAATCTAAATTTTGTGCCATTTTGGATACATTCTACATACAATTTTAAGTTATTATTACTAACATTGAAAATATAACTTCCATACTTTTTATATTGCTACTCATCACATACCATACCTCATTAGGCCATTGGAAAAGGTCTCTTTAGAATTCATTGCTTGCCATTAGTTAATTTGAAGAACATTTTAGAGATATAATTAACTAGAATGAAAAAGACATTTAAAAATCTATTACAAAATCTTTTCAGGGAATCATTTCTCCAAAGATTTCATTTATAACAAAGGCATAAAAATATTCATGAACAGTAATAACCTTCAGGTTTTAGTTATCAATTTAATAATAGCATACTTAAAAACAATAGATGCCTGCCTTTTTTATTCTCATCAGATGAAATAGAAGGTATAGGGATTGTTTTCCTATTTTAATTTGTCTCTCTTCTACCTGTAAGTTGTTGAATTCAGTAAGTTTATTTATTTTTTATTTTTTTATTATTTCTAGTTTCAAGTTTCTATTTAAATTCCGGTTAGTTAACATACAGTGTAATATTAGTTTCAGGAGTAAAATTTAGTGATTCATCACTTACATATAACACCCAGTGCTCATCACAACATGTGCCCTCCTTAATGCCCATCACCAATTTAGAGCCAAGTCAAATTGTGCCAGCTCTCTAAAATGTGAACAAGAAATAACTTTAAAAATAGACTTGGGATGCCTGGGTGGCTCAGTCGTTAAGCGTCTGCCTTCGGCTCAGGTCATGATCCCAAGGTCCTGGGATGGAGCCCCACACATCGGGCTCCCTGCTCAGTGGGAGGCCTGCTTCTCCCTCTCCCACTCCCCCTGCTTGTGTTCCCTCTCTCACTGTCTCTCTGTCAGATAAATAAATAAAATCTTTAAAAAAAATAGACTTAATATCATAGGATTCCATGACTGTTTCAGAATTGTAAAAACATAAATCATATATTCATATATTAAACTTGATTCTTGAATATTATAATTTCTTCAAAAAATAACCACTTCTTAGTTGAAAATGATCAAATTTACTCTTGACCCAAGTGAATTTAGTATATGTACTGCCAAAGCAAGCACCTAACCCAAGTGAATTTAATCACAATATGTGTTGTTATAAAATCCTCATATTACTGAAGATAGAGTTAGGATTACTCAAGAGAAACAGTATCCTCAATATTTTAATCTTAATTTTTTTCACTGAATTGTAATCAAACCTTGATAACAAGATGAATTTGGACATGATTAACTGAAATCTCTCTTCATATGGTTTAGTTTTTTAAAATGTCTTATCTTTTGTTAATTATTTTTTATTTTTATATCTGTAAAATGGGGTGACATTCCAAAACTTCAAAGGAACTGTGTAGATAAGCACATTAAAGTTTTGAAAAATATACAAAAACAAAGTATCAGAAAGTTGGGAAACTATTAATATTTTAGAGCAATATATGATAGATGTATTTTTTTTAAGTACCAGAGATGAAGCCTGGTAAAATTTCACACAGAAGAAAACAGTTCCTTCTTCTACTGAGCCATAGAATTGGAAGGGACCTTAAATGCTATTTATTAGTTGGCCCTTAGATTATATGAGTGGCCTAAGTTCAAACATTTAAGTGTAGGAGAACTGGAACAAAAATCTAACTATCCTGCTCCTGTTCTAATTCTTATTTCCAATGCTGTGTCCCTCTTTTTCAAAACAATGTAAGAATGTGAGAAATATATACCATATCACAGTAAAAGTGCTATACCATCTTGTATCAATAGAATATAATGTAGTAAAAAGGACACCCAAGTCAGGAGACCTGAGACAGACCATTTCCTGCTTTCTTGGACAATTTGATTAACCTGTCTGAGCCTTGTTTTTTTATCTGTTCCAACAGATCCTATTTATAAAAGTGGCAAAAAGCTGACATACCATCTGAAACATCAAAGATTAGATTTTTATGTTCAGCATACATTTTTGGTTTTACTGTACATTTATAAAAATTGGCAAAATGTAACAGGTGTTAGATTAAGAAGCCCACCCCATTTCAAAGCCCACCTCATTTCAGCCATTAATAGTCATTAATGTTCACCCAGTGATTTTTGTGGTTACACCCTCTTCCTGTGTGGCTTCTACTTGAGACTATACAGTCAGTGTTTCAAAAAGAGAAAGAAAAAGAAAACCTGTTTTGTAGCCTGATGTGTAATAAACCTTGATAACAAGGTGAGAATTGGAGATTGTGTGTCTCACTCAGAACTGACACAAATGGATTTCTGTGATGCAGTTTCTGGTTTTGAGTCATTGTGAAAATTACGTGTCCCAGTGTGTGTGTGGGGGGGTGTGTGTGTGTGTAAAATATAAATTTTAAGTAAACTTAATATATTTCATAACTTCTATGAACCATGAATCCTGAGGACATCCACGAAATGATTAGAATTGTAAGGTATGGTTCTGTGAAGTCAACAGAGGCTGCCATTAAGGTGAATGGAGTTCTCCATCTGTACCATATTGTGAAGGAGTTAAATATATAAGTTATAAGATTGCTTTTACTGGCTTCCTTTAAATGAATTAGCTGGGGAATATAATCAAGTTACCATTTTCCAAAGTTATTCCAATAAACAGAATTTATTATCTTTGTTCTAATTATATGTAGAAATATTAGAGTCTTAAACAAATGAGTTGCCTTTTTCCAACATTATTGATGATGCTGGAAAGTCTGCTATTTATTAATACTTCCAAAAAAGCACAAGAAAAAAGGCAAGGAACAATAGTGACTTTAAAATAAATGAGCCCTGTTGTTTTAATCACTTTCTTAACTGAATAAAAGAAGTAGAATGTGCGCCTAAAACCTTTTCTTCTATTCTAGCCCCATATTTAAATACAATCTAACTAGAAGCACATAAATACAGATTTCTTGGTGACATTTATCTTGAGAAGGACATTGTGTATAGGTAATGGGGTTTTATCAAGAACAAAAAGTGTTAATTATAAGAAAACAATTAATTGAGGTAATAATGGGTAACCAACTAAAGGTTTTCTAGTGAATTCTAGATACAGTAATGAATTGATTAAAGAGTAGATTTCAATTAGGTATTTATGATGGTGTTCTCTTTTAATTATTGGTACTATAATATCTATTATTTAGAAAATATACTTCATCTCATTTTAACCCATAAATTTAAAATCTGTTTTACTCCAAAAAATGTTGTTTTCAGAGCACCACAGAATAACTTTGGACAAAGGAAGCTGGTTGCTGGGGAATATCAATCAAACTGGCTATTTTAGAGTCAACTATGATTTAAGGAATTGGAGATTATTAATTGATCAGTTAATCAGGAACCATGAGGTAAACTGGATTTACTCATCAAAGATCTGTTTCGATAGGTGAACACCTGCCACTTTAATCCTGATTCCTTTTTTTTTTCCCCTGGTTGATCTCATAGGTTCTCTCTGTCAGTAACAGAGCAGGTTTGATTGACGATGCCTTCAGCCTGGCCAGGTATGTTTTCCAGTGGATCTTCACAAGAAAACTGATGTCCGTAAGGCTTCCTCTATTAAGCTAAATATTATATATTTTGAATAAGAAACCTTTTAAGAATAATTTCTATCTCACTTTTTTTGTATTTGGATATGAATTATAATCAGTATCCCAAACTCTTGATCAATAGTAGCCATAAGGTATTTCTGAGTCAAGAGAAGCTTGATCAATTTTCACTGTAAGTTCAATTTAACACTGGAGATTAATAATCCCTTCCCAATTTCATTAATGAACTCTACAAAATGACCATTGTGCCATATTTAATTTTTGATAGAAAATACCTTCAAGCAACAGCAATTTTTCCCTAACATATACTCATATATCTTTTTTTAATGTTTTTTGAACGTCATTCATTATGAGAAGCTTGTGCTGCAAGACAGAAATAAATATTCCACGGAGTAAAGCTGTTCTGGACAAAATGTATATCAATCTTAGAGCAGAAGACTTTAGTTGTACTTGTTATAGTAATATTTACATTATTCACATCATCAGATTTATAATGTGAAAATGAGTTATTCCTTTGAATAGTCACTAAACAGTTATTTCTTTAAAATAATGTTGATTGTAAACCCAAGCTACTTACTCAATGTTGAGATTAAACAGTAAAATAAACTCAGTCCTTTTAGTATTTTGAATTGTTTCACATCCAAGTGCAGTTTTAATTTTAATAATCCAATGTTATTGGGCAGAAATTTAGAAGTAATAGTGGTATGGGAAGGCCCACCAAGATAGCAATGTATGGAGGTAATGAGTAAGATGTAGTTTTGGCTCTACAGTAAGATATGAAGACTGAGTATTCAGTATCACATGAAGATTACTTTGACATAGACGTTTAAAAAGGTCAGAAAGCCAGTAAGACAGTGTACTTAATGTAACATTGCATTGAAAGAGAAGCAGGAAAAGGAGAGAATTATGTTGAGAGCACCACAAGGAAAGGTTTGAGAACTAGATGAGACCTCATACCACCAGCTACTTAAACACTCATAAGGGTCCAGACACTGTTCTAACTGTTGTACTGTAGCAATTTGTTTAATTCTCACAATCTTACGAAATATGTAGATATGTATTGTTATTATCACATTATTATTATTCCCATTTTATAGGTAAGGGAACTGAGGCTCAGAGAAGTCAAGTATCATGTTTAAAGTCACACAGCTAGTAATTGATAGGACCAGAGCTTTGTCCATATAGTCTGGCTACAGAGCCCAATGATGTTAACTCTTTCATTATATGTATTCACATGAGCGACCATTTCAAATCCCATCAGTCTTTCTATATTGCCTGGTTCTTTAATTATAATAATTAAATTAATTAAATTACTATTACTGCTGATATATATATATATTCATGTGAATTCTTTTGGATTTGAAATGATGGTGAGAAAGCATATAAGTAGTAAATGTCCAAAAGTTGGAGGGCATATGAAAATTGAAAGGAGGGGATCTTTGACTCATCTGCATTAAATTATTTTTTAATGGAATATTTTATTTAATAATGGTGGATGAATTTTTTTTTTCAAAAATTACATTCCTTGTTGACTAAGACAGAACATTGCTTTCAATTCCAGTTTTGGAAGCCTTAAATATTTGAAGTAAATAATTTCATTATCATTTATACAAATTCACCAGGAAAATATGCAAATCTCATTGAATATATATTAAAATTTGTTTTACTGATAATGAGATAATTATCCTATTAGTATGCAAGTGAATAAATACAAAATCAGATTTATACAGGCAAATGCCCAGCACTTGGATTTGAAGGTTATCATAGGTCACTGTTTCCTAGTAAATGTTTCATAGTTTTGCTACCAGTCTGTATCAACTTTCTTTCAGTTTCAGAAGCATAGCATGCTCTTCTTGACTTCTTTAAAGATAGCAAGTAGGAAAAAAAGCAAATATTTATTAAAACGTATGTTCCAGGTACTATACTGAGGCTTTTATGAATGGCCTTGTGCAATTTTCTCAGTAAACCCTTGGAATGGATGTGGTTACTCTAGAGGTTAAGGGGAGTTAAGTCATTTAGCTAAAGGTTGCACAGCTTTTAAGTGAGGGGCAGAGGTGAGATTCAACAGCAAACACTGGCACAGCAGAGCCCATGACCTCAAGTCAGAGTGACTTTGCCCATTATGTGAAATTCCTTCCCACTCCCATTCCCTCTTATCTGATGGGAATATTATTATTCACTATAAAAAAAAAATTCACTTTCACTCCTGTGCCTTAAATCTGTCTTCTCCAATTAGAATAAGGTAACATCCCGTGAATCTGTATTGTAGCAGTTGTCACTTTGTAGTTCAATCCCTTTCTGAGCCCCTGATGGGTTTTGGGTAACTTTGAAGATAGGGCCTTGTCTCATCTTTGTATTACTACTGCCTCACTTAATCTTTAGCACAACACTGTATCAGTATTTATTTGTTGCATGAATTGGTAATTAATTATTGATTACTCAAACTATAAACTTTCATGCCTATTATTTTTTTGTGCAGTTAAGTAAACATATTCTTGGGTACTCTTTTTATAGTTGTTTTTTAAATATGTAAAAACCACATGAATGCATTCTAATTGTACAAGATTAAAACAAAAGAGCAATACAATGTGAAAAATTTCTTTTACTCTCCTCCATGCCTTCCCATCATATTTATCCTCCTCACAGATAAAATTTTCAATATTTGGTATGTATCAATCCAGCCATTTTTCCTCTACATTTCCATAGAGTTTGATTTTTTTCTTTTCATGCACAGAAATGCATTCTGTTCTCAGACTAATTTCTACAAATTAGTCTGGGGAGCTTTATTCCATTGTTTCTAATTTTTCACTATTGTAATCAAGACTGTCATGAGATCCTTGAGTGGTCTTTTGTGGTGCATACATGTATTTTTATAGGATAGATACCTGCAAGTGGAATTTTGGGTTCACAAAGTATAAATTTTTTGATAAATAATACAAATTGTATTCCAAAAACTTTGCCATTTTAGCCCTCCATCAACCATGTATGAGAGGGTTTAGTCCCCTCAAACCCTCCATGATGATGAATCATAGGCATTTATTAAGTTTTTGACAGTTTGAGAGTTTTGACAAGTTGCTGCAGTGCTAGTTAAATTAGCTTGCTCATCTTTTCATACACATTTGCTATTTGTATTTTTTCTTCTGTGAATTATTACCTGATTTAAAAAAAAGGATTAAAAACCTAACAGAAAAAGGGCAAGATATTTTTCCTACTATATTTTTCTATATATTTTGGATGTATTAGGATATTAATTATTTTTGTAGCATACATTTTTACAGTATTTTTCTCTTAATACTATGTCATTTTTTTTGTGATGTATTACATCATTCAAAGGTGCTTAATTTATATGTCTAGTCATCCCTTTTATAACTTCCTAGTTCTCTGATTCTGTCTCACTTAGAAGCACTTCTCTATCTGAAGATTTTGAAAATATTGTATTTTTTAAAACGTTTTGTTTTTACATCTATCTACTCAGCCCTTCCTCCTCTAATTTTTTTGTATAGAATGGAGTAGGGGGTCTAATTTTCTTTCACAAAAATACATTTTTTTAAAAAGATTTAATTATTTATTTTAGAGAGAGAGAGAGAGGAGGAGGGAAGGGTAAAGGGAGAGAGAGAATCTCAAGCAGACTCCCTGGCTGAGCACGGAGCCTGACATGGGGCTCAATTTCATGACCCTGAGATTATGACTTGAGCCAAAATCAAGCATCAGATTCTTAACTGACTGAGCCACCAGGAACCCCTCACATTAATACATTTTTAACCAATTATTTCCATCTTACTTAAAAGGAGTTCCTTATTCATACATTTGAAATGATATGTTTATCTTAATGCAAGTGGTCATATTTTAGGGAATTGATTTGACTCTGTTTATTTGGTTCTTTGTTCTTTTCTGAGCTCCTGTCATATTTTTCTAATTAGTTTATTTAGCTTTATAGCATGTTGTGGTTGAAAAAGTTTTCTCTTGTTCTTTTCAAAATATTACATCTTTTCTCTTCAATATATATTTTAGAATCAGTTTGACAAAGCCCATTTAAAATTCCTGCTGTAGTTATGACTCAATATGCATTGTATTTATACATTAATTTTTAAGAATTAACATCTTTTCAAATGTAAGGTTTCAATATTAAGACGTGCTACTTCTCCCCATTTATTCGGGTCCCTAAGTCAAGCTTTATGATTATGTACATGAATTCTGGTAATGTTATATTATTTCCTCATTTTTTATGGTATGTGCTTCTATATGTAGGAAATGGCACTGCTTCTGCACATATGTATTATGATTTTCATTGCTTGTGTATAAGGAATCAATCGTTTGCAAATGTCATTGTGTTATGACTCGAACACTGAAATTAGTGATGAAAATGCCTACATTTTTGTTGTTGATGGATGTTCATGTTTGGTTTGGGTTTTTGTTTTGATAAAGCATTATTAGATTGGGTGACATAAAATGAACAAGATACATTCCTTGTCCTCAGTGAATTCAGTCTAGCAGGAATGATACACAGTAGGTAATTATATTCAGTATATAAGGGCTATGAATAAAATATTATGAAAGCACTGGGAAGTAAAGAATTAATGAAGCTTAGGAAGATTATGCAGGACATCATATAGGAAACAATATTAGAAGATTGAGTTTACTATGAAAATCCATTGAACGTTTAAAAGTAGGAGAATGAGAGTAGGAAGAGTGTAAGCTAGAGGATGGACATCTGCGGGAGAGCCGTTAGGATAGTCACGACTCGGGCTGCAACTTGAGTGAAGCAGGGATTGAGGAAGAGTGGAATTAGCAGCTATAGAAGGTAGAACGCTTACTGAAGGCATTTGTTAACTTAAAATATGTGAGAGAAACTGAAAATTTAGAAGATTTGCAACAGGAAGTATAATAACCACTGGATTTGAATATTTAAAACTATTAATATGCTCTGAGTAAAATTTTAAACTATAAAAGGGTGT